AAAGATTGATAATTTAATTTTTAAATGCTGTCACTTTTATCATCTTTCATCTTTCATGCAATAGATCTCGAAAGACATAAGTTTGGTCGTGCATGTCACTTTTATCATCTTTCATCTTTCATGCAATAGATCTCGAAAGACATAAGTTTGGTCGTGCAGCGTTAGAGTTTTATCACCAAGGTCTGATCTTTTTAGCCTACTACCTGTCTCATGTGGAATTTTTAGTTTGTTTGTTATTTATGAGTAAAGATTTATTTTTGTTTGATTATAGTTTTGTTTATTTTTCCTAAACTGGAAAGTTACTAACTTTTTAGCCTTTATTTCATATATATAGATATATCTATAAATTTAACCTTTAAGGATTAATAATTACATTATTTAATGCTCTCACTTTTATCATTTTTCATCTTTCATGCTATAGATCTCGAAGACAGAAGGTAGGTCGTGCAAAATCAAGAGTTTTGTCACAAAGGTCTGATCTTTTAGCCTACTATCTGTCTCATGTGAAATTTTGAGTTTGTTTGTTATTTATGAGCAATTATTTATTTTATTTGGATTATATAGTTTTGTTTATTTTTCCTAAACTGGAAAGATACTATCTTTTTTTAGCCTCTATTGCATGTTAACTGTTTATGGCGGTATATTTGGTTAGCATTCGTTGACACGAAGACATGCAAATGCGAGTCTTCTACATTAAATAATTGCATTCTGGTACATGGATATTGAAATTAGGGCTAACGTTGTTATCACCAGATTATTTATGCATAATACAAATTTTTCCTTAAAATTTTGGTTAGATTTCTTTGTAGAAAAATCTATCAAAGTTATTCTATATTTTGAAATATGTGGTGATTTTTGTTGTTTAGTTTTTTAGCCGTTTTTATTATGCAGAATTCAGAATGTGTTCTATATGTTAAAGGTAAATCATTAATTTTGATTTATTCAAATGTTGTATTCTTATTTCCCTACGACTACCTGGTAATTTAATTTTTTATCTTTTCATAGAAGCGACAATAACTTCTTGCTCTAATTTCACTAAAATGTTATGACATGCCATTTAGGTAATATGTTGTCGATCATCCATGATAAAAATGAAGTTTTATTTTGTTTGTCTTTGTTTTTTCTTTGTTTTGTTTTATATTATTTTGTTCTTTATAGTGGGCTTTGACTTGAAACAATTGATTGTATGGATTTATTGTATATTGTTGCAAGTTTTATTTATATGTTTAGGCAATATATCGAATTGAATTGAATAATGTAGGATGTTGTTGCCTTCATTTGCATTATCGTGTAATCAATGTAGGATTGCAGTAGAAAAAGGGGAAAAGAAGCTCTTTGCCTTGAATTTTCTTTTATGTATTAAATCAGAAAAAATAGATGTATATGCTTGCATGTGGAAAAAAAATTTAAGCAAAAACAGGGCTACAATTGTTCTCAATATGTTGGTACCCTTTGTGAGGTTGAGTTGTTATTGTTTTGTAGAAGATCTTGTAATTAGAGCAATTTAATAGTAAATTGGATCGTTTTCATGTTTGGGTGACTTATCTTCTTTTGTGGTTGGAACCAATTTGTTATAATATGATTGGTGCATATCGATAGGAGGATCTGTTAGTTTCATGTTTGAAATTCATGTTTGAAATTTTCAAAAAAAAAATAATCTATTGATAAACTATGTTAGAGATTGCATAAAATTCATGTTTGAAATTAATTTTTGTAATAGATTATTTTTTTGGTAGATATATGCATAGTTGAGAAAGTAAGTTATAGTACGACCTAGTACTTAATTGATTTTAAAAAGACCTGATACTTAATTGGTAATGTTTTTATGGATGGACATTCTAAGTCATACTTGTACTTATCAATCTGCAGGAAATATACATTCCATATCTTACAATTATTTATTATTGTGGCAGGTCCCTGGACATCATTATCTGGACTTCTCTGTAATCTGGCACAATGGTTTCATTTGAGATGAATGACCGGAAAAGTAAGAATTCTGTTATATGTACGTTGATCTGTTTTTTAAGAATTGTAAGTGTTTTATGTGTTCTTTGAACTCCTTTCCTAATACTTTTGGTATAAGTTTGTTTGAGATGATTTGGTAAAGAATACTACTTTTCCTCATGATGTTTAAGAATTTAGCTCTTGTTAGGTTTTATTTCTGGTTTAGCCAAATTAAGAGTACTTAATTTGGTGCATATCGATAGGAGGATCTGTTAGTTTCATGTTTGAAATTCATGTTTGAAATATGCATAAAAAAGTAATCTATTGATAAACTATGTTAGAGATTGCATAAAATAACTATGTTAGAAGCTCTTTGCCTTGACTTTTCTTTTATGTATTAAATCAGAAAAAATAGATGTACGTATATGCTTGCATGTGGAAAAAAATTTTAAGCCAAAACAGGGCTACAATTGTTCTCAATATGTTAGATGTTTATGCAAATGCACCTATAAATCAAAATATGTTTGTAAATCATTTATATGGACTTCTATGCATAGTGTAAAAGGTGAAATGAACATACCGCCAACACATTTTCCAAAATGACCATTTTTTTGAAGATCCTCCATTAGATGGTCAAGTTTGATTTTGAAGACTCTTGCTACAATATCTGGTCTCTCATCTGATCTTTGTCCTCCCAATTCTTCTAATGTTGCTTTGATTTCTAGCCACCTTGGATTTGCTGTCATTGTTATAAAAAGATCCGGATTCCCCATAACACGACATAGAGATATTGCGTCATGATAATTTTGATTCATATAACGTGGGCCTCCTGTGAAAGAAGATGGCAATACTATACTTTGTCCAACTTGAGATCCTTCTGTATCTCCTCTGAAAACAGCGTCCTTTATTCCAGAGTATAGTTCAGCTCTGATCTTGGTTTGATTAATTTTAACCCAGTGAAGCCTATCTTCTTCAATGCATGTAAACAGATCAACAATATATGTTTGGAATAATTTTCCAGAATAAAGTAGTGTCTTCCCTTCACTATGACGTTGTTGTATACGGAAAGCAGCATATTCCCTCATGGTCACATCTTTTCTTTTTTTCAAACTGGTATTTGATGCATCTAATAACTTAACTCCCAGTCTGTAGCCATCCTCTCCATAAGGTAAAAGCAATGGATATTGCATTGCCATGAAGCTGGGGTGTAGGTCGCTAATTCTTGATAAGCCTAATTTTCGATCCTCGACAACAATATCTCGAATCCCTATTGTTTCTTCAACATTTCCCACAATTAGTCCGGCAATTTCTGATGCAGATGGCATATTTTGTTCCCTCCCATCACCACTCCTTGAGGCCGTGATCACCAATCTCACTGACACTAATTCATCTTCATTGATTCTCTCTCTTACCATACGGAAGCTTTGAACTAATACATTGTGCATGTCTAACATTTCAAGTAGTCCCTTGACAATATCCTCATCTAGTTTGTTGGTACTATTGATGGATATAATCTTGTTGTTGATTTCATTTTCAGTATCATATATGTATAATTGACAGAATTTTGGAGCTGTTCCAGGTATAGGTTTCAACGACCCTATACGATGATGATTTTGACCATTCAAACGAAAACAATATGGTCCTCCTCCTTTATTGTAAGTATTATCAATATTTCCACCTGAGGATGTAAAAGCAAACATGCTATTATAAGATCTAATATTTTCCTTAAATTTATTACTTTGTCTGCTTCCTCCTGGGTATAAAAGATCTCGAAGAAAACTGGGAGGCTCTTTTAAAAGAGGGAATTTTATTTTCCCTTTGCCACAACAAAGAGAGAATGATGGCTTATTTGGTTTCCAAGATTTTTCTGCTCTTTCCTCGTACCATAGCATTGCATGACAATATTCACATATAAATTTTGGCGGTCCAAAATTATGTACCCCATTGTGATTAACTGCAATTCAATAAGATTGGTGTTTTAATTAGTACCATTATACATATACAATTAACAATTTGAGGATAACATGGTAAGAAATGTGTGAAATAACATGAATTTTAACAATAAAGTCCATATGTTTGAAAATGATATTGAATGGATAGGTTTATTTGATTGATTAATGGACTGGTTCACCATCAAAATCAAGGTTAAAATATTTTAAAAATTAGCATTAGCAAGGCATGTATTACATACTTTTCAGGTTAATTTAATCTTGTAAATTACATATTTTCTTACTTGTCTGCTGCTTTATTGTAGCTTCTTCGGTTGCATTGATGAATGAAGGTATGATTCTTCTGCTTTTATACTGCTGTATTTTTGCCTTTTTGTAGTTGCCATTCACTTCTTTATCATCAATTATCCGATCATGCTGCCTTTTTTTGGACCCAAAGATGTTATTCTGAGTTTCATAATTATTATACTGATACTGATTTCTAATCTTCCTTTTGATCTGTCTGATTGTCAAATCCCTTTGTTGAGAATGCCAAGACCCTGCACACATGCAAAATGTTAGACACTAAGTACATATGTTCTAACTTCATGCTGCTATAATGCATCAGATTGGAATATGTGTAGTTACCTTGAGATGAACTCTGTTGACCATCATCCATGTTTGCTTGAATTGTTAGGTAGAGTGCAAACCCGTGATTTGTAATGTAACCCCCTTGGCTAAGCTGCTTGCTGTATGCTATGGAGCAAATAGAAAAGCTTGTTGTTGATTTGGAGCTTGTTGTTTGGTTCTTAGTGTCAGATCGTGTTGTTTGGTGCTTAGTGTCCTTTAATTTTTTTTTTTGTTACAATCACAGTGAGAATCATAATGTTAAAACTCTTATTTCAACATTGAAGCATCAAATCTATTTTCTAATGCTATATATACTTATTTCTACAACACAACACAACACAGTAATAATGATACTTTGATTAAATTGTATAAACACAATGAAAATTTACATTCAACTTAATTTAAACTTGAGACAAAAATAAATAAAGAAATTAACACCATACCGTAATCCTATCCTTGCAAATGGCTGAGCACGAATAATTACCTACATTAAAAGATAATTAGTGAATGTTACAAATGGAAGAGGGAAGATTGAGGACAGAGATCTCTAAAATAAAATATATTGAAAGTGTAGTGTTAATATTCATCAAAATGCAACCCCTTATGATTGTAATTTTTTCTCAATATGGTCTATGGTCCCTATGAATGCATGGAATTTCATTTCGAGGTAAGTTCAATTTAATTCTTCAATGATTTGGATTAATTGATCTATTTGTCCTCTACAATTTATTTTCATTAAGCATAGCCAGTTGCTCTTTCTTCGTCAATTTGTCGTACTTCAAATTACATTCGATATACATTTGATATGATGAATTCTACCATCATACTGATTGATTAAAACTTTTGCTGATCATAATTCCAGTTATTTTGAATTCCCTGAGCATGAACAGTCTGCATGCTTTATGAACCAATGAGGTTATTTCAAATGAAACCTTTTCGGGTTATTTTATGATACATATTTGACCATTTTCGTACATTTTTAGGGCCAAAGTTGGAGGCCTGAGTAGCTTGCTTCTGTAGGTCCAAGATGCTGGTGAGCATTTATCACCTGTTTTGACAATGAAAAGTGCAATGACATCTTTCATTTGATTTAAATCTGTAAAATATCATAAAATTTACTGAGAATGTCCAGTTCATTTGTCAATTTGACTTCAACTTAGCAGCCTAGGGATTCATGCTATATCTAAAAAGGAGTTTAGTTTAGATTAACAGAAAGATATGCTATTCCATTTCAGATAATTGAAATATTCTATTTCAATCCTTCAGTCTTGGTATTCTTGACTTACATTTGAAGCATCCTATCTTAAAACTTTTGCATCCCGACTTGTATCCATCTTATTAGAGTGCCATGTAAGTTTCATGAACTAAGGATTAGAAAAGGAGCGTCTTTTGGTGGATAGTAAACTGGGAAAGGAAGAACCTATATGAAATGTTGGATACTGAAGTACAGTACAATTGTTGGTGGATTGCTCAAAGAAGATGGTGAAGTGGTTGCAATGACAGGCGATGGGGTGAATGACGACCTAGCACTGAAATTGGCTGATATTTACATTGCTATGGGTATTGCTGGGACAGAGGTACTTTCTTTGCATTCCTTGTCTTTTTCTACTCTGTTGGAGTCTACAGATGCTTGTCTTTCTATTAGGGTCTTCTTGATTGAAGTCTTAAACTTGCTTGGATGGTCATGAAATTTGGTAGTGTGGTCTAGCTGTGTCAATTTCCTTGAAGTTTCACAAATGTTCTTCACGTATTACTTTTTCCCTATTCTCTCATTAGTGTTGAGGGATTTCATCATATGTGTAACTTTTCAGCATTGTAGTATTCATTTAAGTCTTTTCATATAGTTTCAACTTTGATATTAGGTTTGCTTTATGGAATGGACTTAATCTTGAAGAAGTTTTTTTAGGCCAAAGAAAAATGATATAAGGATAGTCTAGGGACAATATAACATCATTGAGTGCAATAGTGATTATGAGACATGCAATTTGCTTTGTCTATCTTAATTACACATTTAGCATTTGCCCAAGGCTCAAAGCTAGAAATTTTGGGAATATTATGGCACAATCCACATTGGTCTAAATTGTGATTGATAAAGGACTGATACTAAGAAAATTAACTGAGGCATATTTCATTCTGCTTATTCATTGACATTTATTACCCTAAAATTTGCTTTGTGCAGGTTGCTAAGGAGTCTTCTGATATGGTGTTAGCGGATGATAATTTCAGTACTATAGTTGCTGCTGTTGGTGTAGGGAGATCAATATATAACAATATGATAACTTCATAAGGTCATTTTTACCTTCTATGCTTCAGTTAATGATAGATATTTATTTTTCACTGATTCCTGGTTCGATATTACAGGAGCTTCATTGCGCAGAAAGATTCTCCAATGATGTATAAATATCAGCATGAATCCCTAATATTCCATAATTGATCCCAACTGCCTATACCTTTCCTACTGTGGTAAGTCCATGTTGATTTGGATTAATTGATCTATTTGTCCTCTACAATTTTTTTTCATTAAGCAGGCCAGTTGCGATAGATCTTCTAAATTTGTCAAGAAGAGAGATGAAGTTCCTTCCCCCCTCCTCCCTAAACATGAATAGTCAAGCAGAGAAATGAATACAATAGCTAGTGAGGATAAGAATAGTATTATTGATTCAAAGCCAATGTAAACTAGTATTCATCCCGTGCTAAGCACGGCATCCTTACAGATTATTTTTGTGCGTAATTTTTCCTCATCTCATTTTTTGTTTTGTCACGATAAATTTATCTTAAACATACTTATGGACATTATAACAACTTAACACAGATTAGTATTTATGGACATTATAACAACTTAATTCAACTTAACTCAGATGGACAAAGAAAAGAGTCATAATCCAGTGTTTATGGACATTATAACAACTTAATTCAACACGATAGATTTTAGAGAATATGAATTTGCTAATAGACTTACAATGATGACCTCCTCTCGGACTCTGAGATCTTGATCAGTACTTTAAAAACACGATGTTGCACTGCAGAATAGATACATAGTAAGGCAATTAGTTTATATCAAATGAGATTATCCCATTTTCTCTAAAGTACAATTAAAAATTCCAGTAATCATCAATTGTCAATTGTATTTCGATATTGTAACTCTTATTTCCAATATAAGTTTAACCCATTTATAATATAAAGATATATTGGATTGTTAGATTAAATAGCTTGTTATCTTTATTTACTATCAATTATTGAGTTATAAAATTGTAAGATTCTGAGGACTGGATGAATGAGGGATTGCTCTATGAAATAATAATTTTTTGTCAAAGTGGATCATTTGCCAAAACAATTCATTTCTTTTGTTTCATGTTGCTTCAGCGCCTATTGTACATACTATTTAACTATTTGAACAGACAATCTTTATGATCAAATTTGATCTGTTGGATAGATTTGTTAATTTTTTTCTAGAAGGTGTTTAATCAATTACATGATAGTGTTGATAAATTCGTATTCCCATCTATTGTCAACTAAGAGCCATAATCAAAATTTATGAATTAAGCAAATATCTATGAATTAAACAAATAACAACCATGAAGATTCCAAATCAAAATTTATGGACAAAGAAAAGAGAGTCATAATCCATTATTTGTGGACTTATAACAACTTAATTCAACACAAAAAAGATTCATAGAATATGAATTTACTAATAGACTTACAATGATGACCTCCTCTCGGGCTCTGAGATCTTGGTCAGTACTTTGAAAACATGATGTTGCACCGCAGAAAATCAGAAAATGCCCCTTAAATTCAAAATATCAAAACTATAATTTCGATATTTTAGTTGAAGATAATATAGTGTGTATACTAAAGTTGCATCAGCAAGTTGAACTGAGTTTCACATTTGGTTTAATAATAAAACTGCAGGAGTAAAAGTAGAAATTGGGATGTAAAAAAAATAAACAAATATTAAATAAACAAATAAAAATCATTCATACTAATCCTTCATTTATTTATTATGAAATTTTCAACAATATAAAGAAAGAAATGTGAATGTCTGTTACAAAATGAAAACAAACAACTATTAACAAAACCAACGTTAATGATCAATTATCCTATATTATACTATTACTGAGTTTTATTTTTCTAGAAAAGTAGACTAAGTAAGGCTCAATATAGATAAATATTCCTCCTCGATTCTAGGCGACTAACAGCGCACTCAGGTCACGCCAGCGCGTGTGTTTCAGGGGGTGAGATCAGGCGCATGGTACGCTAAAATGTCCTGGGACGAGACCCCACCGATTCCGTGAAATTCTTAAAAACCTAACATGCGCCGACGCGCTAGTTTGCGCCGGTAATGAACGCCATCGGTTCCATGAAATTTGAAGGGGAAAAGGCTAACATGCGTCGGCGGTGGCTCACTTACCCTGCGCTGAAGAGGAACCTTCCAAAAGTGGCAAAGAAAAGGCGAGCCTGGAGCCCAGGGTGAACGAAGTAGACATCGTGGATCCCATCGCGGACAGCCGGCGGCAGCGCCTCGAAGATCGATTGTAGTGCCGAAACACCGGGAAAGTTATCGGACAGGTCCACGTACGTGTGAACGTAAACCACCGTGAACGGCCGCCCATCGATCGCCGAAAAAATCCTCTTCTCTAAGTACCTCTTCAGCACCTGCTCTCCTTCGGCGGCGCTCTAAACCCTAGCTGTTGCCAAAAATAGATAAACATGAACAAACCGACGACAAAAAGGCTTTCTTTTTTGTAGAATTCGACGAAGAATTCGAACCTGGAAAGAATTTTCCGATAATCCTCACGATCCTGTGCCTGCGCTTGTCCGATCCTTGGATCGTGATCGCCTAGAGTTTCTCGAAGAGGAGTGGAAGCAGAGCAACTGCCAATTTGAGTGGGGAAGTTGAGCAACGTGTGTGAATTTAAACAACGTGGCCAATTTGAATGAATTAAGTTGCGAGACGGTTGCGGGGAATTGAGAGCAAAATAAGTGGATAATAAAAAAGTTTACTGTTCATTTTAAGGTTTTCCTTTAGTTATAAAGGAAAGTAGATTCAATGATTGATTCTCTCTGTTGTGGCATATTGATGGTTAATGCTGTACTATAAATGTATTTCCTAAGAGTTTTGGACTGTAATTGAAGTTGGGGCTGTAAGTATTTGAGAGCTTGCCTCCTACAGCGGATGTTTCAGATGCATTTGTTTTTTTCCCTTGACCACTTCAACATGGACTCAAATTGCTTATTCATGAAGCTAGGTGAGGTCTAAATTCAATCAGGTAAGATCAATATCATTTTTGCTTGATTTCTAGATTTGGAATAATTCGGATTTTGGTCTCTTTTCTCTTCTATTTTTAATTTTATTTTTCACTCAATTTTCTCAGGTCTTCATATATTTCAAAATTTTACACTAAAAAATTTACAGCAACATCCACTAATTTAAGTTTAAATATTTTGAAATTTGGAAGTTTTAGATTTTTAGATTTGGAATAATTTGGATTTTTGTCTCCTATCTCTTCTATTTTTAATTTTACCAGGTCTTCATTAATTTACAGTAACATCTGCTAATTTAAATTTAAATATTTTGAAATATAAAAGTGAAGATGAAAAATCTTACCCGAACATCTTTGACCTCTGTTCACTTAGTCTGAATTAAATTTTCTGAGATTATGTATGAAAATTTGGGTGTAGAGAATAAAAACAGGTTACTATATATATGTGGTGGTTTGGGAGATGTGGGAGTTGCAGTAGTGGAGGTAGTTCACGGTTATGAGAAGTGGGTTTATGAGAAGTGGGGTTAGGTGGATAATGGGCAGATTTTTAAAATTAATTTTATTATGAATAATCTGATTGGTCCAGATCAGATTTACTATTCATAGAAGCTTTTTGAGTGTTCTCTTTTAGTTAATAAGAAGTAGATTCATAAATTTTTAACACGTGCACATGATAGCCGAAGTGAGAATTGGGAAGTGGGGTTAGTGGTTTTTCAAAAATCGAATGTAATAGACACAAATAAAAAACAAAAAATAGGAATAATTAAAAGAAGAGAAGAAAATTTTTAAAAACCCCACCACCCTAAATACTAGGAAATCGTGGGAATAAAGTGTTCGATGTCATAAGCATCCCATTTATTTCCTCGATCGAGTAAACAGACAACAAGAAGTATGAATAAATAAATTCTTCAACCAAATTAAGACAAATGCAAGGAGCAGCAAAAGTGAGTAGCAAAAGGGTTAATGATCGATGCGGTGCTACAACGAGGAAAGGGCCATGGATGTCTGAAGAGGATGAGGTCCTTCTAGAATACGTGCAAAGGCACGGGCCGAGGGATTGGAGCTCCATTCGATCCAAGGGATTATTGCCGAGAACCGGCAAGTCTTGCCGCCTCCGTTGGGTTAATAAGCTTCAGCCCAACCTGAAAACGTACGTCAACTTGTGTAGTTAGATATCAATATACTTTAGGCTTCGAATTGAAATTTTTAGTAATTCTTCAAAATTTTGGAAATGGTCAAAATATTGATCGATTTCTTTGTGCTTTCAATGCTAGAATAGCATAGGCTTGCACTGATTTTACATTGTTAGTTGTTGATTTGATATCAACATTGTGGACTTAGAAGTTTCAAGTAATATATATTTCAAGAGTTCTAACTAGTGATATTATGGATTTTATAATGCTTGAATGTTATATTATCATTTATGATTTAAACGTTCTTGACAGGGACACTTTAGACTTTTTTGCTGCTGCTTCCAAAGTTGAAAGTAGAGATAGTATTGATTTCTTAATGCTTGAATTTTTAGATAATTGCTTGTAATTTTAGTGTTTAGCGTTGTGTTTTTTTATTATCGAGATTTTTAAAGTATTAAGTATTTTTAAAGTATTAAGTATTTTCCGGTATGATTTTAATCCATGGATTCATCTGTCTTTTCATTTCTCCGATCGACAATGTGTAATTGTTAGTACTGTGAGTCATCAGAAGTAGAAGATGAATTTACATAGTTTATGATCACTTACCTTGTATCAAAATTGTACACTTTGATACCACTGATTTCTTAATCCACAATATTCCAGTAGGTAATTTCATAGTTTTCGTGTTTCTTGTAATCAAATTAATTTTGTGCTTGGATTACTGACTATTTGTCGATATCATTACAATCCATGAATATTGTGTACATTTTTCATCGGTAGAAACCGTAGAATGTAGAATTGTTACTGCGAAACTATATAACTTATCTTCTGCGTCAATATTTTTTTAAATTTTTTTTTTTCGATTTTTCTCATTTACGAGTAATCTATGCGGATAAATTCCTTGTATGAAGTGGATGCAAGTTCACCCCAGAGGAGGAGAGGATAGTGATCGAACTCCAAGCAAGATTCGGCAACAAATGGGCGAGGATTGCGACGTACTTACCTGGGAGAACTGATAACGATGTGAAGAATTTTTGGAGCACAAGGCAAAAGAGACTCGCTAGGATGCTGCAGATACCCCTGCCATCAAAACCTAGCAAGAATCAAAGCAAAATGCCCCTGACCAATGACCCACCAACGTTTGAGGTAGGTGTATATTAATCGCAACATCTTTGCTCTTTCAGTTTGGACTAGCGGTAGACTCAGAGAATTTGATTAGAAGCGGCTAAAAAGGATATGATAATGATTAACTAATGGAGGAGATAACGTTCAAAAGAATTGAGGGGAAGACTTCAGTTTCATAGAGTTGATCCTTAATTTTGGGATAAAAGTTTTGTTTTTGCTCTCATATAAAAAAAAATTCCAAAAAGAACGTAGCTAAGCATTGTGTTCAACATTAATAACATTTCCCATCATACCGGTTGTTGGAGATGCTAATAGGTACATAAACAACTCTTTATTTGATCGGTAGTTATTATATGAATAAGGAAATATTTTAGTTATTCACATCAAGGTTCAAACTTCCTTTTGTTAATTTGTCTTCTTTTATA